AATGTCCATACAAATTACAATATATTGGACGTACAACAAGACGCCTCAGGGATAGATTACGTGAACTCGTAAATAATATTAAGCGTGGGTACAAGGAACATTCACTTTCTAATCACTCTAGGCAGGGGGTCCACAATAAAGATCCAACATCACTGAAATTTACTGGTATTGATCTAATAAAGCCCCATTGGAGGGGATTACATAAGAGAAGGGCAGTGTCCCAACTGGAAATGAGATGGATCCATGAGCTTCGTACCCTACACCCCAATGGCCACAACATTGAAGTTGATATTAATTGCTTCTTTGAAAATAGTTGAATTTTTTATGGGTATTTATTATTCTTATTTAAGAGGTTTCTTTGTAGCCATTTTTCCCTACTTGTACACTTTTTACCACTATTGTTTTAGGAAAACCATTTTTATCCTATCTGATTCTATATTATTAATATCCCATTTTATGATAACCATTTTATGATAATTACTTAATTTAATACATTTTTATGGACCATTTTTTCTATGGTCTAATTTATATTTTATATAACCAAATATGGGCTTTTTAGCTATTCTCTTCGATATTTGGGATTTCTTCTCCTTTCTTTCATTATATATTTTTTTTTACCTATATTAATGATATATATGATTGCCTTCAGGTTCTAAAGTTTTATTATTTCTTAAATGTTGCTTGATATTATGTCTTTGTGTTGTTTTTTGCATATCTATTTTTAATTAGTCTATATATATTTTTTTCTATGATTTCCGTGGTAAATACTGTGTGTATATAATGATATACTTATTCATTTATGCTTTTAAAATTACATATATTTTAAGTTTAAATGTTTATATTATGTACCTCAACTAATTGATTCTTATCTAGTATTTATTAATACTTTTATGAACTGGGACATTTGAATAATACCTGTCCCATCTCAATGAAATCCTTGGAATTAGGGCGTTTGTTCTGTCACGCATTCGCATTGAGCACTGTCCCCTATTTAATGGCATGATGATTGCACCATATATTTATGATTTATATTATATATTCACATTATAATGAAGGTTGTTATGTTCATCACCTTAACTTCAACCCTCAATGAGATTTTAATTTGTTTGAGGTTTTTCAGTACTTACATTCTCAAGGATTCAGACACTCAGACGTCTGCTCTGATCCTTCATACTAAAAAACCAATGGAAAATGGCGCCCGCTCTCCCGCGCGTGCGCATTACATTTTGATCTTCTCCAACATGGCGGATACCTAATGGGCATGCTCCAATCTCTATTTAAACAAACGGCGGACGGCCCCGTGTGATTGGCGACCCCCTCTGAAGACGTGCTTGAGTACGATACGCGTCAGGAGGAGCCACATCACATGTTTACCTTGATGCATCTTACCCTAATGTTTTAATAAAATTTGTCAATACCTGCTATACTATGGGTGTATCCTTGTTCCAAACCCCTGGGGGAGCTCTATAAATTCGCAGATACACTGCCTCAGGACGGATCATCACATCTTTTAGTGGAAATCTGCCTACCCAGGGAGCAATACCAGGTTCTTTAAAGGAGAACCCGGGTGGATGTGGATCACCTGTAAAGCCCTAAAGGATCCTATCTGACTACCCCACATCCCTTAGAGGGAAGACCTTCCAGTTCCTGACCCCCTCCTTTTGATGACATCTGGATTATTAATATAAGGTTGCATTATATATGTGCGTCCGGTGAGTGCGCATTACTTACACCACTATTGCACAGACACCGGGTCCAGATTTACCAGAGCACAAGAGTCACCTTTAACTATTATATTCACCATTGGAACTGTTTTTTACCCTCAGCTCATTTTTATGATACGGTTTTATTCATTGATTTATTGGTATATATTATTTGTTCGCGCTTCACCTTACTTTATACTATTTATGATTCGAGGCGATATTGGTTACCTTTTTGTGCATAGCAGCTTTCCATTTATGTTTTAGGGAGCTCACATTTTTACTTACACATTTAATAGGACCACTTTCCACCAACCCAAGACATATATCACTTTTCGATGTTTTGATCTATCAACGCTTGCCGATAAGCATAAGGTATCAAAGAACTCTCCCATCCAAAAACTGGCTCTAGAAATATAGAAGTCAGGAAAATACTTCACGATAATATTAGATCTTAGCTTCCTGAGAAACTTTGGAACAGTAGTGCAAATTCATTCACCACTGAACCATGGAGGCAAATGGCAAGAGATGGGCTTTTCACTTCTTAATAAATGATTTATATTTATAATATAAATACATATATATATATATATATATATATATATATATATATATATATAATTTTGTAATTTTAGGGGGGTCTATTTTATATAAAAATTTAACTGCGTGAATTTACAGTTGTGCTCAAATGTTTGCATTCCCTGTAAGAAAATGTAAAATTTTGGCATTGATATTGAAAATATGACTTATCATGCCAAAAAACTGTCTTTTATTTAAAGCGGTTGTAAAGGTTGAAGGTTTTTTACCTTGATGCTTTCTATGCATGAAGGTAAAAAAACCTTCTGTGTGCAGCAGTGACCCCAGCCTCCTCAATACTTGAGCCTCATCATGATCCAGCAATGTCCACGACAGCCTTGACTCTCCTGGGTCCCTGCTTCCTCATTGGCTGAGACAACAAGCGGGAGCCATTGGCTCCTGCTGCTGTCTATCACAGCCAGTCAATGAGGAAAGAGGCGGTGGGGCCAAACCACGGCTCCTTGTGTGAATGGACACACAGAGTAGCGGGTGCTCCCATAGAAAGCTGCTTGATGTGGGGGCATCCAACAGACCGGAGGAGCCAGGATAGCCTGCGGGGGACCCAAGAAGAGGAGGATACGGGCTGCTCTGTGCAAAACCATTACACAGAGCAGGTAAATATAGACATGTTTGTAATTTTACAAAAAAAAAAAAATTAACCTTTACAATCACTTTAAGGATAGTGATCATATGAAGCCATTTGTTATCACATAAATATTTGGCTCCTTTTTAAATCTCAGTGATAACAGAAATCACCCAAATGGCCCTGATCAAAAGTTTCCATCCCCTGGAATGTTTGGCCTTGGTACAGACACACAAGGTTAAAATGGCAATTAAAGGTTGATTTTCCACATCTGTGGCTTTTTAAAGTGCATTAAAGTGTCTGTGGATAAATAGGTAATGAGTTTGTTATTGATCACATGGATGCACTGTGCAAGCTAGATACTGAGCCATGGGGAGCAGAAAAGAACTGCCAAAAAGACCTGCATAACTGACATCCCTCTCTGTTTGTGCAGAACCTGCACAGATCTCTCCTTCTACGGCCGATCTCAGCAGGGCAGATGACAGACTGAGGAGTCCTGAGCATGCAGCTCTAGCTCTACTGTTCTGTGCCATATCTGTCAAAGGCATATTTAGTTTTTGTGGTGCCCTAGGCAACCCAAAAAATCTTCCACCTGCACCATCCCCCCCCCTTGCTCCTGTAAAAAAGCTTGACACTGACCAACACCACAGCACCCCCCCAACCCACCCCCATCGAGAGAGCCTTCCCTAACACCTGCCAAAAGCCGCCCCCCCCCCTCCACTGGCCTAGAGAGCCTTCCACTAACACCCCCCCCCATCCAAGACAGCCTTCTACGATCCCCATCCACCCGCCACCACCCCCTCTCCCCCAGCAAAAGAGAGAAAGACACTCACCTTCACAGCTCTGGACATCCCTGGGAACGAGAGTCAGGCTCTGCATGCACCGTCAAGCAGTCCATCTCGGATCCCACCAGGTCCCCATGCCACGTGTTTCTTCTTCTGGGGTGGCTGAAAAATGCCGCCCTAGGCAAACGCCTTGTTTGCCTCATGGTAAAAACACCCCTGGGCACAGCATAGAACAAGTGAGCAGATCAGTCCTAATGGATTACGAGCAGCATCTGCTCTGTTTTCAAGATTAAAATACATTTTAGAAAACATTTTCAAAGTTTAGAAGAGCGGTGCAAGCATTATCCCTGTGCCACTGTTTGTGGATTTCCCCCATTGTATCTAATGTGCCCCATCTAGTGGGTAAAAGTCTGTATTTTCTCTAGACCCTCTGAATACAAGATGATGAGAACATATCAAATTCTAAAAACTGCCCAAAAAAAAATTAAACAGAAAGTGTGCGCTAGTCCCCAATAATGCTCTTTTGTGCTACTCCCCAGAATAAGGGAAGGCAAATAATAATTTAATAAAAAATTTTAATAATTTTCCATTTGGTCCTAATGTTGATGTCGTATATGCCCCCCTCCCCACTTCCATTTGTAATGCAAAGAATGCAACGGATGTATAAATGAAAGATAATGCAATAATGAAAGGCGGACCTCCAAGAGTATCTGCTGCTTGGCATCTTCTTGGCACGTCAAAGAGGATGTCCATCTTTTGCATGGCATAATGAGGTCTCGTGTCAATGGCAACCAGAACAAAGTCTTTCACCTCTCAGAAAAAAAAAAAAAAAAGAAAACCAAGACAATAAATATAGTTACACTGGATCTGCTGGAAAAGGACATTTCCCTCTGAACTCTAAGGGGTCAATTTATTAAACAAAGTTCCTATAATCATCATCTCCATCATGTGTCCATACTGTGGTATTTTCCTGATAAAGGTATTTCAGGAAAACACCACATTATGACCACTAGATAGAGTTTACAATCATAGGAAATACATTTATTGGACACAATACAGAGATTCTTCCCAAAGGCTGTAAAAAATGCCAATACATTCACACAACAGTTTTTAATAGACCCCTTAAAAGTGTTACTAAACCCAGACCAGTAAAATCAGTCTGCATATGCAGTAAATCATACTTGTTATGCTCACTGTGGAACCTAAGGGGTTAATCCTCTGCTTGAACCTGCCTTCTCTGATGCTCTCCTTCTTCCAGTGTCCTCCGCTTATCTCCTGATAAGACATATCATGTGGAGGCAGCTTGCAAATGCTCAGTTTGGTGTGTATTGCTAGAGAGGTTTTTTTTTTTTATTTCTTGGTAGGGTGCATGTGATCAGGACAGGGCCAATTAACACTGTTAGGGGTTATGCATCCTCCTAGAGAAAATGGGGAATGCAGTGTTCGAGGAGACCAGATATAGTGCATGCAGGGTCCAGGGAGAGCAGATGTAGTGAATTCAGGGTCCGGCGAGACCAGATATAGTGAATGCAGGGTCCAGGGAGACCAGATATAGTGAATGCAGGGTCCAGGGAGACCAGATATAGTGAATGCAGGGTCCGGGGAGACCAGGTATAGTGAATGCAGGGTGTCAGGGCTCCAGGGTGTGACCAGAGGTATGTGACTGACGCAGGGAAACGCAGGCTTCAGATATGTTATAAATATAATTTATTAACACTAACAATACAAACATAAACGCAGTGCAATACTAAAACATAACACAGTGCAAACAAACCAAACCAACCACCCACAGATAACAGTACATACAATGCAAGCGTCGTCAGGCAGGCCGGGATTATCAACAGGAGGTCAGAACGTATGGGGTTAAGCAGGAGAATGATCAGACAAAGCCAGGGATCTGGAGCAGGAGAATGGTCAGACAAAGCCAGGGATCAGGAGCAGGAGAATGGTCAGACAAAGCAAGGGATCAGAAGCAGGAGAATGGTCAGACAAAGCCAGGGATCAGAAGCAGGAGAATGGTCAGACAAAGCCAGGGATCAGAGCAGGGTCAGCAACGAATCAGACAGGAACAGGGAGCAGGAACAGGATACAGGGCCCAGGAGAAACACACACCAAGGCAGAGTCTGCAGGTCTGGCCATCCCTTAAATACACCAGTATAATCAGTTCCAGGTGTTTAGCTGGCTGCAAGGTTGAGTCTCTGATTGCTGGGAGCACCCGCTGGCCAGCCCTGGTACTGCAGCTCATAAGGCAGGTGAGTCCCACCATTGCTGGCCAGTCCATTCCTGACACAGGGTATGGGGAGACCAGATATAGTGAATGCAGGGTCCGAGGAGACCAGATATAGTGAATGCAGAGTCCAGGCAGACCAGATATAGGGAATGCAGGGCCCGGGGAAACCAGATATAGGGAATGCAGGGTCCTGGGTTCAGTAAAACTCTACTGTTGTTTAAGCATAAACGAAAAAGACATAATATAATACATACCTGTCTCTCCACCTGTACCTCGGTTCTTCGCTCTTTTGAAGGGTCACTCTGGCTGAAGAGTGACAATGCTACTCCTCCATAGATACTGTACAGTAAGTGAGCCTCAGTACCTTTGTCAGAAAGTATGGTGGCAGGATCATTATATGGCCAAATGAATGTGGAGACCGGTCCAAATGATTGGGTTCAAAGGTTTCCAGTGAAGGGTACAGTTAATGCTACAGTATACAAAAAAAAGGTTAAGATAATTGTGCTCTTCCAACCTTGTCTTAACAGTCTGGTGAAGGCCCTTTTCTGTTCCACCATGACTGTGCCCCTTTGTACAAAGCCAGCTCCATAAAGATATTGTTTGACCAGTTTGGTATGGAGGAACTGAAATGGCCTGACTTCAACTCTAATGAACACCTTTGGGATGAATTGGAATGCCAATGGTAAACCAGGTCTCAGTACCTGACCTCACACAAAACTAGCACAAATTCCCACAAATGCCCCAAAATCTTGTGGAAAGTCTTCCAAGAAAAGTGGAGACTGTTATAGCCTCAAAAAGAGGTGGGTGGTGGCGGTGGTGGATGAGCTTCATATTATTGGCCATTATTTTGCAATGGGATATCTAATAAGCGTATGCATCTGTGAGGGTCAGGTATACAAAAACTTTTGGCCATAGAGTGCATTTTTTTAAAAATAAAGATAATATCTCATACAAGCTTAAAAAATAGATATTTGAGGTATATGGCTACACAAAAGCAGAAGTTCGATTTAACACAAAATTCATTTTTAGTCTGCAGAGTACTAACTAAATAAGACATTTATACAGAGTAAGCAGAATATGGTAATAAGAACATTTTTGGGAACATATGAATCAGTAAAATCAGCAGAAATAGAAAAGAGGAAACATTTGGTTTTCTTTTCTTGTTCAGTTACAGCAGCCAATTTTATTGAAGCTAAACTCTTCACACAAAGAAAACAATTACATATTCTTCAGTAGACACAAAGGTGCAACCCAAATGTCTTTGCAAACCCAAATATTACCCTTTAAAAGTAGCGCTGACATCATCACTGTTGTACATAGTCTGTGCAGACAGCAGAACTGTGGGAGGGGCCAAGCAGCTCCACCCATTACAAGCTGCCTATAAAAAAACTACAGCAGGGGCGGAGACTAGACCAGTCAACCTGCATAAGGAAAGAGAACAGCAGTAAGCGGTCTTTATTACAGAAAAGCAAAGTCTCACACTGGATTACTGCACAGATCTGAAAATACACAAAGCTCAACAAGATTCAAATAATATAATTAAATAATTAAAGGGAATCGGTAGAACTGTGATAGAGCTAAACACCAGAAAGGTTGCCAGAACTAAATATTTTAATTTTCTAAATGATTGGATTTGTGGACATCTGACCATTAGAGGTAAGGTTTGTACGTGCAGTGAATTCCCAAACATTTGACAAATTCTGGGAAGATTTTCCACAAGATTTTGGAAGGTGTCTATGAGAACTTGTGCCCATTTGTGAGGTCAGGTACTGATGTTGGGTAAGAAGACCTGGCTCATATTAAGCGATTCAATTCATCCCAAAAGGTATTCACTAGGGTTGAGGTGAGGCCACCACACCAAACTAGTCAAACCATGTCTTTATAGAGCTAGCATTGTACATGGGGCAAAGTCATGCTGGAAAGAAAAGGGTCTTCATCAAACTGTTACCACAAGGTAAGATGAGCACAATTGTCTAAAATGTCTTTGTATGTTGTAGCATTACTGGTATCCTTTGCTGGAAACACCAGAAATCCATGCTTTAGATTAGAGCGGGCCACATACAGTGGGGAAATTAAGTGGGCATACGTACAAAATCTGCAGGGGATCAAATAATTATTTTCCCCATTGTACGTTTGGTCATAGTGTAGTGTATATGAAAGTAAAGTAGACTTATATGTTGTGGGAACAAATTGCAGTGGCACCACATTCCCTGAATCATTCAATGTATATCTTTACATCCCCTCTGGCTATAAATCCACCATTTATATGTTGCATTAAGCAAATGTAGCACAACCCCAGCAGGGGCAGCTACTTCTTCCCAAATAGTATAACGGCTGGCCACAACCACGAGAACTAGTTTGTGCATACTGTGTCCACTAACTCTAGGTCTAGGGGATGTCTTTTTCAAATATTTTGTTTGCTTGAAGAACTTTAGGCAGGCGAGGGGTTAGGGGAAGTAATACTCCAAAACACTTGCACAGTAACAGGATGACACTCTTCTGTAGGCTCACACTCCAGGATTTGTCTGAGGACAGGGGAATGGCTAGTACTCTGAGTGCCAGCTCCGTACATAGCTGCCTATGGCCTACTTATATTCCAAAAGCACACAGTCACTAGGAATCAATTCAGGGTCATTACTTACAAGCTTCCATTACAGCTGCCAGCTTTTCCTGTACATGGTCCAGTGAGGGAGACAATCCTTCTCCAAATCAGATCCTAATGGTAAAATCCTGCAGCCAGCTCCTCAGAAGATCACTCCAGGTCCTCAGCCCTGCTACATCTGACACCTCAAGGACAGCTATACAGTTCTCAGGCTGCTTCAGGGCAGCATCCCTTGAGGCACTGAAACCCTCCCTGCCAAAGAAAGAACAATCTTTCCTGGGCTCAAAACTATTTATCACCTCACCAGTCACCTTCTGGACCCTCCCACTCCAGGTATGATAAATATTCAGACTGTTCATTTGAATCTCCCTCCTTATGTTCTGGAAGGTTCTTCCAGAGGCAGGGAAAGCAATTCCCATCCTGTGAAACCATGAACAGGCCAGAACAGTCAATGTCCCCTTGACTACAGAAAAAGCCAAAAGCTAAATATGCCTAGCATCCTACGTTAGCAGGATGCTACATCCATCCCTCCCCACTCCTAAAATTAAGCCCTGTTCCCATGGGCCAAGTAACACAACAAAAATTATCCTTGTCCCCAAGAGAAAAGTATCCCATGATAAGACAAAGGATGGGGAGAGGTAAAGGTAACAGTGTAACAACAAGTATGTGGCATTCCACACAGTAAACATTTTTTTAATCTCCTGCAGCCTGTTTGCACTCCAGCAATGACTGCATGGCATTGCTCAGGGTGGATATCATGATGGAACAGGAGTGGACTGACCATTTGAGCACTCGGGCATTGCCCGAGGGCCCGGGGTCAGTAGGGGGCCCCATGAAATGCCTCTGGTACCTTTTATAGGCTTTTTTTGAGTGTGGGCAAGGACATAGGGGCCCCATGATCCCCTATTACCTGGGGGCCCCATGAGTTGTCAGTCCGCCCCTGTGAAAGAAGCAACAGTGCCTGCATAATGCGCGTTTAAACTGCCACTAGTAGTCTCCAACAGAAGCCTTTGTGACAAAGTTACAGCACAAGAGTATGGGTGCAAAGATTTATCACACTACAACAGGTAGTACCCGAACATGGACCTTAATGGCAGGATCACCAAGTAATATTTTAAAGAATGTAGCAGATGTAATAAGATTATGAAATCATTGACAAGTTACAATATATTAACACATTAATCTTACTGTAAAGGCTATTTAGTGTCCTGTAAGTATAAAGCATTAGCACACAGTAGTAACACAGATGATTTTTGTTACATCAGCAAAAATGTGAATTGTCCAGGATATGGAAAGGTTGAGAAGCACTGAACTGAAAAATCATGAAATACCACAACCTTTCCACTTCCCATAATGTGGTCACTTGACACTCATTAGAGCTGCGTAACAGAAGATCCTCTTACGTAACTCTAGAAGCCAATGGCATAATTCGGGATTGCACTTCCTTTCACACTATTACATACAGACATGGCAAATGCCAAAAGAGTGTAATTATGATCACATGAAATACCTGACATATTGAGACAAACCTTACATTTTTTAACACATGAACTTTCATTATATGGAGTTATAAACATACAGAACCCACAAATATGTTTGAAGGTTTGCATTTATCCAGGTCATGGTATACCTAGTAGTAGTCACTTTCAACTGGACTTGTTCTATAAATTGGAAGATACCCCAGAATGTATATCCACACAGGTAGCATAGACACAGTAATCCAATTACCATGAAATGTGTAGATGTTGATTGTCCAAGAACAGGATGGGAGGTGTGAAAGTTGAGGAACCAACCTGTTCTAGATACATGATCCCATCCTTGTCAATAAAAAAAGCTTCATGACACAAGGATGGAATACATGACATAAAGCAGGGAATCACACTGGGGGCAACTATCCAAAGAGAGGGCCCAGTGGAGATACACTACCATGGGAAAAATGGCTCCGTCTATATGTCTATATACAAAGCCATTCACAACACTGCCCCTAGCTACATCGCCAACCTCATCGGCAGATATCACCTAAATCGCCCTCTCCACTCCTCCCATGATATCTTCCTCTCTAGATCCCTCATCACCTCCAGGACTTCTCCAGAGCCTCTCCAATCCTCTGGAACTCCCTACCACAGCATGTCCGGTCAGCCCCCACCCTGTCTGCCTTTAGGCGATCTTTGAAAACTCACTTATTCAAAGAAGCCTACCCCACCTCCATCTAAGAACTGTACTTGAATCACCTCCATCAGATCATCCCCTGTAGCTATCACCTTTTGTATCACCTCGCCTTCGTTTAGATTGTAAGCTACACAAGCAAGGCCCTCACATTCCTTCTGTACTGAAATGTATTGTAATTGTACTGTCTCCCTTATATTGTAAAGTGCTGTGCAAACTGTTGGCGCTATATAAATCCTGTATAATAATAATAATAATAATGTCCTGTCACCAATGTCACAGGAAATGAAAGGGAGGGTAAATCAAACATTTAGTTGCCACCAGAACAGGAATAGAGGGGAATTATTCCAATAGGGACACTTTTCTCATGACAATATTTTTAGCAAGATCAACAGGTATTTTGTTTTTTTATGTTTTTTTTTATA